AGTAACGTATTTTCATCAAGTCCTTTTAATAAATCTATCAAATCATCCAATTAGTCATCATGAATTTCTCCACCTCTTTCACTTGCCTCTGGTCCATTTCATAAGCTGTCCAAAAAAAAAAAAAGTCTTCCTCCTGCAACAGAATATTAAAAAAAAAAAAAAAAAAAAAAAAAGCACCTCTCGCCTTGTTTCTAGCTTTCCATCCTGCCTGTTTACCCACATTTCGTAATGCCTCCTTCCGTTAGCAAAAAGTATTTTTCATTTTTCAGTTAACACTTTCATATTTTCTTTCCCTGGGTAAGTAAGAAAGGATTCTTTCTTTCTTTCTTCCTTCCTTCCTTTTTTTTTTTTTTCTTTTCTTCACCTACACTAACTACTATTTGTCTTAAAATGCTGGTTCGATCAATAAAAACATCTCCCCAAATTTATAGACAAATCCTCCAGATGCATGCTGGGATTTTTTTCCTAACCAATAAATATGGACTACTTCTTGGTTTCATCTGTCACACTTTTCTTGTGTCTTGGAGTCAGAACACTATAACCACTTGACTGTATCTCTTTCGTGTGTGTACACCATATTTATTTTGGGAACCTTTTGCATTATTACTGTTGTTTTGTATAGTTTTGACATATATATATATATATTTTTTTTTTTTTGACTCTCCTGTCGTATTCAACGTATGAGGGTCAAACAGCACAGTTCCTAGGAATTGACAGACAGACACCAGCACATGTGATTTGATTATAGTGGTGAAGGTTTTGTGTAGAACCATCCACACTTTTTGAAGGGTCAAATACAGAGACCTGATGCACTATGTGCCACAAGGTCCCCAAACGACCATCCGCAGGTTTTGAATTCAGAGTTGTCCTTAACTTAGACCAGTTGTCATTCAAGGCTATAAAACCCAGTCTGTCCTGCTATTTACCCATAGCTGGAGGGAGAAGAGGAGGATTCATAACTTTCCTAAAGCTATTAGCTCGTAAGTGAAAAAATTTGAACTCAGCTCTCTGATTCCTCAATCCGAGCCACTATCCATTACTCCACTGTGCCTCCATATATATATATATATATATATATATTGTTTGCTTTTCCCCTGTTCTTTTTCTTCCTTTTCTGATTATTTATTGAGAGCTTTGTCAATTTTGTTTGTTGAGTATTTTGACGATTACACACTGCAGGTTATGAGACAAGAAATAGACTGTTTCAATGGTAACAAATCCAAATATGAATTATGAGAAGTCAAATTTTTAGGATACACGATAATCCAAAAAATACATGAAAGAATCTTGGCCCCCATATGATTGTCCAAATGACAAAGACTACTGTGAAATGAATGTATCATTTCTTGTTGACAGAAATCTGTTGCTTATTAAGTTCCTGACAATGACAGAAAAGCAGTGAAAATTCTGAGAGATCACCATTTATCAAGAGGAAAACTGAAAATAATTTCTCTGTATATTGAATTAACCTCCTTACAAAAAAAAAGTGATAAAAGTATTATGAATTATACAATGTGCAGCAGAAATACCTCCCACACCCTGTATTATTAGAACTGAAAATGCTGCAATTTTTAAATAAAGAATTTTTATTTTTATTGGAATTTCTCCGCTTTCCAAGACATGTATTTTCATTATTTCTTTCTGGCTTGTCTTTCCATTGTTACTATTCATTGCAATTGGTTATGGCATTGTCCATGAAAGATGAGCTCCAGGGATATGAGATACAAGTTCCACCTGAAGTTATTTCTTTTACTTCATGCATTTTTTAAAAAATAAACGAAATGAATTGAAACCGTTGTTAATTTTATGGAAAAATCAATTTAAAAACAGAAGTATATATTTCACTTTCAGTATGTATTTTTTTTGTACACAGTACGTTTTATGAGCTGATCATGAAGCAGACAAAATATTTTTATTGAAGAATGAATAAAACAGGTGGAATTGTACAAGTTTTTTTTTTCTTTCTTCATGATTAAGCACACTAGATAACGAATTAAAAAAAAATAAACAAAGATTTAAAGTTAATTTTAATACGGGTATATCTTGTACAACTCCACCAAAAAGAGATTTTAAAAGATTTTCTTCCTTGAATACACCTAAGATTCATTACATAAACTAAAATTTCAAATTATCTCTATTTTTTACAATATGAGGCCTGGTAAAAACAACAGTTGCTTCTAGTAAGTTAAAGAATTACATAAGAAGAAAAAAAGAAAAAGGAAGATTTTTCTAGTTTCATATTTAAAATAGTCTCTGAAATTACTCTACAGAACACCTAAAAATAAATGAAAACATTTTATTTGTTATTGAATCAAGTGAACGAGGAGTCGATTTACTTCTTAATATTAATTATAAAATCCCCCCCCCCCCAGACAGTAACTGCTTGTGGCGGTGGGTGAACATCGTATTGTTCCAAACATGCCTGCGGAGAATTTTATTCGACTGTCAAATCTTTTGCGTTGTTAAACAATTTAACAGTAAATGTCATAAGTTAGCAATAATATAAATATATATATATATATATATATATATTTTATTTGTGTGTGAAAACTGAAAAGTAAAACGATGAATGACAACTTCAAGCAATGTGATCACATGGCCGTAGAGCGTACACACTTCACCCTCCAATGAAGAATAATACACACTCAAAACTCAAAAGAAAATAAATAATCTACTTGAGTTGACTAATAGTTACTGATGTCTATTTTTATTTATTTTTCGTATTTTCTTGATGAAAAATCATGACGTTTGCTATGTTTTTTAATTTAATTTCAAAAGAATGCTGTCATTTTTTTTTAAATGTAGGAATTCATTTTTTTGTTGTTAGTTAGGTTCCATTTTTTTTAACGAAAATACTAAAGTTAGGTTTAAATTGTTTTTAATATCATCTTTTAGTATTATTCCTGTATAATACTTCCTTGTTCTTTTAACGAACCTTTTTAAAGAAAATCTTCCTACGCATACAGCACTTAATTTTAAAAAAACGTGATTATATATATAAAAAAAGTGAATGATCTGTTGGATTTTTGTTTATAGTTTACTTTATAAACATTTTCTATTGTGTAAAGGTTGAAAAAAATAAAAATTTAAATTCTATCAATTGGACAAAAAGAAACTGAACTTTTCAAAACGGGATACAAAAATAATTAAAATCGGTAAAAATTAGAAAATATTTTAATTAGCGAAAAAAAAGAAGCAATACCTTAATTGAAAAAAATATCAGATTCATTAATCAAAGATTTAATGAAATTAAAAAAATAAAGTTACTAAAAAATTTTTAAAAATGTTATATGACAATATAACTTTTGATTACTTAAAAATACAACAGTACAACACTCACAGGATAATGACAATTTAGAACTAGCAGAAAAAAAACTGTCGGGAGTTAAACCGATCAAGTGTATGTGGAATTTACAATAATGATATTTGTCAACATGCGTATAAATGAAGATCCAAACACATTAGAAACAGAATCTAAATGATTTTTAAAAGAATAAAAATGTAGAACCGACGTCTTTACTAGATAAGCAGTTGCGCTACCCCACTCTATAAGACAACGAGTGATAGAAAAATAAAAAAAAAAGAAAAAAAATGAGATTTCAAGAGTCCTAGTGGTTCCAACAGATTTGGGATGAAATAAAAATCAAAGGGTATTTTGAGTTTCAGTTATATATTTTAAAAAAAGTGACCACTAACCTGGTCGCCTGTGCTAATTTGGTCGTAAATAAGAGCCGAAGCTACAGCTCCACTCAGACAAGCGGCCATCTTGATGTCAAATTACATTGCAGTTGATAACTTCCGTTTCCGGTTTCGTTTTTGAATTCACAAAAGCAAAATAAAAGCGTAAATTGAAACTAATTGCTTTTTGTTGTTGTTTTAAAATAAATATCGTCCATGCGTCCTTATAGCTTACATTGGTTTACAGCCAGGTTTGAAAAAATGATGTAAACTTGCGCGCGGACATATCATAACGGACACTTACATGGCGAAATCGGAAAGAAACAAACCACTTATTCGTCTTCCTTTATTTTTATTATTAAAAATTAAAAATGCAGGTTCGATCCCTGCTGATTGACATATTTTCTTTAATAAAACTTTCGCTGATCTAGGCCTCTACACGCTAATTTAACTGGTTTTAATCTAAATAAACAGATATTAAAAAATTGATTTATTTGGCGAAAAGAGAATAAAATGATTTTTTTTTTGTGAGGAGAAGAGACGTCAAAATCTTTTTTTCTGAGTATTATTTTGAAAAGCGCAAATGAAAAAATACTAGACTCTTACTCTGGTATGACATTTGATAGAAATTTACATTTATTAAATAAATGACATGAAAAAAAAATAATGATAAAGAATACAAATTTTACAAAACAAATTTGCACAATATTTTCCTTTGTGCGCCTAACACTTAGACAAGATAACAAATTCTAATTACAGTTCAGTTGGGCTCGTAAAAACAGTTATAGCTATTATCAACAAAATGTTCACTTACTTAGATTCATTCGACTGGTGAAAAAGAAGTTGGAAAGGTTGACGATTTACATGCCTTGCAGGGTTTCTGGTTTCTTTAGACAATAGTTCAGTTTTGAAAACTGAGATGAGACAAATGTATTTTCGTAAAACATTCAAAACTAAGGTTAATACCTCTAATCTTGTGACAAACTTTCGCAAACAACTATAGAAAGATAATCGTAAATCTCTCTAACTTTGTAGAATTTTCTTCTATTTGCTTTCATTTCTTCTTTCCTTTTTTATTTCCTTTTTTTTCTTTCGGCTCTTTCTTTTCGTCATTGTCGCAGTTGACTGTGGCGGCTTTTAGTTTTTTTGTTTTGTTCAGATCCCAGAACCAGCCAATGTCTTGTGAATGTCGAAACCTTCCGCTTTCTGCTTTTCTTCTTCTTTTTCATCTAAGTTTAGCTTCCAGAACCATTCGACGTCTTCCTTGTGAATGTCGAAACCTTCTGCTTTCTGCTTTTTTCTACTTTTTCATCTAAGTTTAGCTTCCGGAACCAGTTGACATCTTCCCTGTGAATGCCGAAACCTTCCGCTTTTTGCTTTTTTCTTCTTTTTCATCAAAGTTTAGCTTCCAGAACCAGTTGACGTCTTCCTTGCGAATGTCGAAACCTGCTGCTTTCTGCTTTTTCCTTCTTTTTCATCAAAGTTTAGCTTCCAGATCAACCGTCAAGCCTCATGTTTCGTGGTTCTTTTGATTATTATTACGTAATTTTACCTTTTTTATTATATATTTATTTTATAAGAACATCAAATCTCTTTCCCGTGTATTTTGAATGGCGCAAACGAATAAACCCTTACTATGAAACTTGCAAAGAAAAAATATTTATTACAATGACAAAAATATTTTTCCCAATATAAAAATTGTACAAATTACAATGTAAGCTTTGCACAAAATTACACCTTTGTGCCTCAAATTATCAAGTCAGGTTAACATTTCTTTCAAGTAAAAAACATTTTTATTAGAAAACTACAGTTCATGTAAGCAAACGTGTTCCTTAACAAGAAAGGGATTTTAACAACTTTCTTTTAGAGCAACAGTTCTTATGAATCACTTTCTTTACAACAAAAGAAGTTTACTTCGAAAAATTTTTTCAATTCAAAATATAGTAGGTTAAAAGTTGAAATTCGAAGCTGGGATGAAAAAGGTTGATTTACTTTAGTGAAACTGCTTTTCTGGATCCTTTTGACAAATGTTCACTTTTTTGAAACAGGCGTCCTCAAATTTGAGATAAACTCTCACAAGTCTATGAAAGTCATTCGTAATTTAGAAGATTCTTCTTCTTTAACAGTTTCTTTTTCTTCTTTTATAACCTCGGATCACCACGTGGTCTATTTCATTTCTCAACAGTAGCGGCAACCTTTACATGCTGTGACGGTTAAACCTTTCTGTCTGTGTATAGCCTTTCGCCAGAATGTGGTCTACCTCTTTCCGCTTTTGCAGTAAAAAAGTTTCCTTTTATATAGCAAACACGTGGATCAAAGCCGACTCGTAAACGAATTCATTAGGAGCCTATAGTTTTTATCTGCATAGATTAAAATATCGAGAGTCACTATCCAGTTAATGAAATCCTCCATATTTGCCAGTCACCCCTGCGGGAAAATGCACTCTTCCCCCAAATCAACTTTAACTAATCATCACTTCACTTTTCCAAACTCGACTTCCTATTGGTTAAAAGGGCACAAAAATGTAGCAAGTTGAGACAAATCCTTTTCCCGCTCACCTATCTGGAGCCGGTTTGAAATCCAAAAAGTCAATAAATAGGATCGCTTGACTTGATTCAAGCAGTCAGAAACTGAGTCTTTGAAAGATGCCAACAAACTCCACGCGCGCCAGCACACTGACTCAACAATCACCATTCTCTCTCAGCAACTCAACACAACTCACACAGTCTTGCCGCGCGAATTAACTTACAATTCACTAGAAAAAGTGACATTATCACTACAAAGTAGTAATTGTATATTTAATCAATTTGTATCATATCAATCAAAGGTACATAACTTCTTATGACTTTAAACAATATTTACAATTGTCACACACATACTGTTGTGGCACGATCCACCTAATTTACATATTGGAGTACCGACCATATAAATATGGGTTGGTACCGGGAAGACGGGGGAAGTAACAAGAGATCCAATCCAGAGACTCTGCCCGAATGCGATTAAGTCAACCCATTCTACAGGAACAGTCTTCCCAAGAATATACCAAAACTAACTGTAAATATTGTGTACCTTTTCCTGGTTTCAATACATTTTGTTTACGTACATTTTGTGTTGTATTATTATTATTCCATGCTTATCCAAGCTTCAACACATACACACTAATGTTTAAACTCACACAAGTGACATTTAACCTTGCAGAATTCAAACTGTTTTAATTTCATAGACAAATTTAAACTACAAGCTTTCATACACCAAATCTCTGCATGGCCACTCCTTACAATTTTATCTCACTTGCCATATTTAACAAGCAATGATAAATTCACTTTGTGTATGTCAGATGTATATAAATTCATGTTATTTGTTGAAATCTATAACTACGTTGTTTCTCCTTGATTTCTTCCAATTGAATTGCCTTCAAATGTTTGCTTATTTTATTTGTTGTGGATGAATGCTTAACGAATACACACATTTTTAAGCCTTCACACAATCTCACCTTCTGACACACCCAAATTAGAACGAATTCCACAACACAGTCAAACTGCGCCTCTTTTAAATTCAAGTTTTGCTAGTTTCTGAAAACTTTAAGGCTGGGCTTATTCTATAAAATTTTAGCTACAGAAAGTTTAAAACGCCTTGTTTCGTTTTAACGGTGTTTTATAACATCGGTTTTGAGCTACCTTTCTTTCTTTTTTTTTTTTTAATTTTTACGCATCAATTTTCATTCATGTTTTTTTTAATAAATTATTTGGTTTCCTTTTAGTAGTTTCTTTTTCAAAGTAGCCGTGTTAGTAACATTCTAATTTTCTTAATTAGTTTTTAATGCAATTCAATATTATTATTTTTTTTTATTATTAGAATTGTTACTATATTAATTTTTACACAATTCCAACATTTTCATAATTTTTTATCATACAATTTTAATATTATCGTTTTTTATTAAAAATAACTTTTATAATATCTACTCAATCACGAGTACTCACTAAAATAAGGTTTGAATTTTTTTTAATGAATTAATTGCTTAAATTGCATTTATTAGTATAAATTACTATTCAAATGTAATGTCAATCGACGTCTCCAGATGCCTTGATCTATCCCCTATCCTTCACTTCATCCTTTCCTTTATCACTCCTATTTGCTCTCGCTCAAACTCTCTGTAACCCTTTGCGTGCTAGTGGCTTCCCGCCTTGCTTGGGGTGAAACGCTTTAAAAAATGCATTATAGGAAAATGAAATAAAATCGATAAATAATAATAATAATAATAATAAACATACATTTTCCCATGGTGCCAAGAGTAAATGAACCGGAAATATGATTACCCAGCTTTATCGTTAAAAGTCGTAGGTGGCGCTGTTTAAGTCTATAAAATGACAAACATGATTTTACCTCAGCCTCTTTCTTCCCCCTGTGTTCCAAGTTGTAACACTACGAAGTAAATACGTTCCCGCTGAGAAATGTTAGTATTCCCGGTCCACTGATGACTGAACTATCATCCTACTTTCTAACATATGGTACTTGCGCGTGTCCTCCAAAATCTGCACCTGTGAAGTAAGTCAAGCTATCTCTTTGGTTGTCCCAACTCAGCGCAAGGTTGACTTGAGCGCGACTATTGTAACGATGCTTATACATACTTTACCCTAACTTCTGGACAAAGAAAAATAAAACGGACATGAGATGAGGTATTGTAATTATTTACACTATTTATAGTGTTCGGACTGCTGTCATCATCTTTGTTGCCATATTCACGACGTTTCACCTGTTGTACGCTCCAGCCTTCGTCATTAGAATTTCGACTAGAATTTAGAACTGAACCCTTAGTAGTGACATGTTTCTTCCAGAAGTCTCCGTATCAGTTATCTCCCTTTAAGTCAAATTTCCAAGTTTTTTTTTTCTTTTTCACCTTTGCTTTTGTTTAACTCTTTGTGTCAAGTCACTGGATTCAACTAACGCTTTTATCCACTGGGCCATGTGTCTTTGAGGGCATCAGCGTATGAATTTTTGGGACTTATAAACCTAATGTTTTAGTAACCATTTTTTACTGAGACACTCGAAAGAGGCATGGTTCATAGAACTAGAACAATCTACCTTGGTGGGCGGAATAAAGGGTTCAGTTCGAAATTCCAATCACCTGAAGAAGGCGGGAGCATACAACGTCTGAAACTTCGTGATAGGGCAACAAAGATGAGGACAACAGTCCGAAAACGTTAAAAGTGTAAATAAACCCATAACCATATTTAAACATTCCAACGATAAAGTAACTACAAACATTCCTTTGCTTAAAAAAGAGAGAATAAACGATCTGTGGTAGAAATCCAAGTTTTGTATGTTTCCTTTATCTTTCATTGTTTACAAATATTATGAAATGGACTAAATCCGACAGGTATTTTATTGTTTATACATTCTTTTTATAGATACAAATATTTAAGTAAATGCTCTGTTTATAATAAACAATATTAACAACATTCACTGACCTGAATGTCCGAGAAATTTCATAGAAAATATGTATCCTTCGACAGGAATCGAACCTGTATCCTACACGAAAACCGTTATATAGCCTGGCGTGCTATAACATTTAGCTTGTGAGAATTTCTTCTCACACTGTTCAACCCTTGGCAGAGACAAGAAAAGACATACAATCAACAAGGCCTACCTTAAAACTTAAAACAAATTTTATTGCATCCTTGCAAAAAAAGATTATGCCCTTTTTTGCCCCTGTGAACAGGGTGGGGTAGTTCTTCAAAGAATAGGTAGTGACTTTTCCTTCTGTAGGGCTCAATTGGTCTCTACGAAGTTGGAGAAGCAGGAACTTGTTGGTCGTTGCTGGAGCATTACCATTTCGGTTGCTGAAGTTGAAACTCGGCTATTGTCGAGATCATGCAGAAAGTTATTCGTGTTGAACGTACACATTTGACGACAGTCAATAAATGACTGAATTATACAGCCTTGAAAGTATTGAAGAAGCTGGAACATGACGTCGTCTCAGGAGCATTACCATTTTGGTTGCTGAAGAAGAATCATTGCCTAATTATTTAGGCTTGATTTTGGGCGCTAAAGGCCCCGCAAAGAGATTCAAAAATGAGTCCTGACATTTCTCAATATTTTGCAGCAACTGACTCAAAAGGGTACGGGCCGTTGAAAAAATGCCCGCGAAAAACAAAGTCAAATTCGACCAATGAGATTGGTCGTTACAATTTAGCCAATAGGAGCTTAAATTGCAGAATTTCTCACAGGCTACAGCGGAAATTTGTAGTTTAAAAGCAGTAATTCAACTTTGTAAACTAGACGTTTCCTCATCAGACTTTATGACTGTTCCTTGGAGGATACAGGTTCGATTCTTTTTCTATGAAATTTCTCGGACATTCAGGCCGGTAAATGTAGTTAATACTGTTTATTATAAACATAGCATTTATTTAAATATTTTATCTATAAAAATAAAGTACAAACAATATATTGTTTACATATGAAAACGCGTCTTCACCTAAAATACACACAAAAGCACAGCTTTTACATACCATAACGTATACACACAAAGAAAGGCTGAGCTTAGACAATGACAAAATTTTGTTATGCCAGATTTTCAAGTGCAGTCACACCTCGACAATTTATGTTGAAAATTTTGGCATTAGAATTCGAAGCACTAACCTCTGAAAGCAAATACAAGCAATCTCTTTATTTCTCTCTCTACATATCATATCTCTCACTCTCTCTCTCTTTCTCCCTCTCCCTCTCTCTCTCTCTTAAGACTCACCAGTTGCTTCCAATTTCTCAGAACATTTTGTGGCGTCTTCCCTCTAATGAGGCTGTTGTGGACTCTTCCACTTATTAGTAGGAAAGAAAGCACCGGGGTGGGGGGAACGGTGATATAGACGGTTCATTACTGTCAAACTCTCTGTCTTTGGCAGAGAGGAACCCGAACGAGGCTTTGCCGAAGGGCAAAGTTTCGTCCCGGGGAGGTAGACAGGCCCTGAACCCATTTATACGGGTTCGAAGGGAATATTTTTGGCCGAGCCTACGGGTTGGGAGAACCCACGGTAAACTCGGCCTTGTGCCACATACGAACCACGTGGGGAGGGGCGTTAAATATAATGGTGATATAGACTGAACGCTGGTCAACCGACACACACTCCCAAGTCGTGTAAACACACTTCTGCTGTATTTACTGTTCAATGCACTATTTGTCTGCAACCTCTTAACCATTTACTTGGTCACAACAGAACAAAAACAAATCTAATTCCAGTCTGAATTTCTGGGTTGAGGAGATTCACAACGTTTGTATTCCATTGAGAACTGTAGTCAAATCTACTAGCAAGGAAGTCCTCGTCATACACCCTTGTGCAAAATAATTGAAACAGCAGTTTCCTTTCTTTTTGTTTTAGACCTACTAGAGTGACAGAGTGTAATTGATTTCTATTTTTTCCTCGGATTAAGTCATTTACACTATGGGCAGTAATAAGAATCTATTTTCGGTGTGTATGATGAAATATGTTTGGTCTTGAAAAAAATATTGTGTCATCCGTGATTGCATCAGATTTTTATCACACCCAGACACTATTCTAATCTATCTATCTATCTATCTATCTATCTATCTATCTATCTATCTTAGTCTGTTCATATCTATCTATCTATCTATCTATCTATCTTAGTCTGTTCATATCTATCTATCTATCTATCTATCTATCTATCTATCTATCTATCTATGTCAGTCTTTTCATTATCTATCTATCAATCTATCTATCTCAGTCTATTTATTATATATCTATTTATCTACCTCAATCTATCTATCTATCTATCTATCTATCTATCTATCTATCCCAGTCTGTTCGTATCTATCTATCTATCATAGTCTATTCATATCTATCTATCTATCTATCTATCTATCTATCTATCTATCATCTGTTCATCTATCTATCATATCTGTCATATCTATCTATCTATCTATCTATCTATCTAGCTCTAGCTAGCTAGCTAGCTAGCTAGCTAGCTATGTCAGTCTTTTCATTATCTATCTATCAATCTATCTATCTCAGTCTATTTATTATCTATCTATCTATCTATCTATCTATCTATCTATCTATCTATCTATCTATCTATCTCATATGCTGCAATTACTAGTGAATAACAGTGCAGTGCATTCAGCAGATGGATCTTTTCAACTTCATAACAATAGTGCGTGCAGAAGTTCTTAGTACAGATAAGCGTCTATTTAAAGTACACTCTGGTGCAAATTAATTGAAACAACCACGTTAGTTTCCTTTCTTTCACCATATGGTCAGTTTTAGACCCACTGGAGTGACATGATGTAATTGATTTCTATTTTTTCAACAGTTTAGGTCAATTGCAGTGGTGTGCAGTAATATGAATCTATTTTCGGGGCGTATGATGAAATTTGTTTGGCCTTGAAAAATATTGCTTCATCCGTGATTGCATTAGATTTTTATCACGCCCAGACACTATTGTCTCGACTGTCGATTAGTTGTTCTACGGTCATTGTCTGCGATGGACGTTACTCCAAGGAAGCGTACGAAAATTGTAACGCTGAAGAAACACACTGGCAAGCCATACCAGTGACAAAATCTAAGTACTATAGACTGGCCCTGATTTAAATCCAACCGAGAATCTGTGGTCAATCTCCAAGGAACGACTTCGTGGAATGGAAATACGAAGTACTAACATGTGCACTGGGCCATGTTTCATTGGAAAATACGAAAAAAAGTAAATAACAACAGAATTATTCGTTTTGTTTCAATTAATTTGCACAAAGATGTATGTTGAAAACGCGGAAAACTTTGTGGAATTGAATTGAGGAGATCCTGTGGGTTCACTCACATCACAGCAGCAGAAATATCCTCGTGTTCACAGGAAATAAAAACATATGCAGAGATAACAGTAAAGGTATGTTAAATTGTACATAAATATTATACAATTTATTTATTTTTATGTGTATTTTTGGTTACAAATGTTTTATGATTACATGTGATAAAAGGGAGAAGTCACTCCGTATTATTAAACGCTATGCCACAGAGAGCGAAGTTGGGACGTGTTAAGTGTCCCAAGGTTGATGGCGAAGAGACTGAATTCAACTTCTTTTGGTGAGATGTCCGAATTTTCAGCAGGAACAGTTTCTGTTGCATGCTGGGAGAGTCTTATTTAATTTTTTATTTAAAAGACGTTTTCATGTTATTTGTTTTATTTTATTTTTAATTTTTTTTATTATTATTTTATATTTTATTTTTTATTTATTTATAATAATAATGTCTCTACAATTCATTCATAGCAATCGGATGGAAGACCTGGATGTGATGAGCCTGTTCACCAAAGTTCCCACAGATGAGGCCTTGACAGTGGTTGCGAACCGATTGTAACCAGACCCATCACTTGGAAAACGTACTAACATTCAAATATATTATCTACTGGAACGGTTGACATTCTGTGTACAGACAACATTTTTCTAAATAGAGTCTTACATATTCCAACAAGGGGAAGGTTTGTTTATGGGTTCACCAATGCCACCAGTGATGGCGAATACTTACATGGAATAATTTGAGGAAATGGCTTCAGGAACGGCACCAATGAAGCCAACAGTATGGCTGAGATACGTAGATTATATCTTCATACTCTGGCCCTACCAAGAACCTGTACAAATACTGCTGGACCATGTGAACTCAATAAAACCTTCGATCCAGTTCATAATGGAAGAAGAAAATAATGACCAGCTAGCATTCTTGGATGTACTAATAACTCGCACAGAAAATGGGTTCAATATGTTCGTATATCATAAGTTAGCCTACACTGGATAATATCTCATTTTCAATTTCCACTATCCATAAAGTGTGATCGTCCTATGCTTACAATACATTGCAAAAGAAAAGTGGTGACCCAGACACATACCAACAGGAAAAGATGATGATTAAGTGTACCATTCAGAATAACAACTACTTTCAGCAAGGCTCTATTTTTCCTTTTTTGTGAAGGGTTAATTTTTGTCTGAATATCTTCCATAAAAAGTTATTATTTACATTCTGACTAATATCCTCATCTTTTTTGTTATTATCACAATGTTTCAGCTCTTGTGCTCTACGGCTTTCTTCAGGAGTTGGAACAAGAACAAATGTACATGTAATCATACACACGATCCATCCCTAAAAATACTGGAAAAATAGTACCTGCCTTCTCGTGCTATCATCTATCATTACAAGAGCCAGTTCAGGCTGAAAATGGAGTACTGTTGCCATATATGGGCAGGAGCTGCCAAGTCCTTACTATCCAGTTTCGATAGAATCCAAAAGTGTCTTCGCATCCTTGTGGGGGACAAATTATTTTCGACCCTACAACCTATTACCAGAGACGAAAAAACCATGACAAAGTTGAAAATGTTTTAGTGTAACGCGTTTCGTCATTAAGGACGTCATTGGACTAAATTGATTTTTGCTTTGATGTTACCAAACATGCACACAAAAGAGAGGGATATTAAGAATTTTAACTTATTTTTTTTTCAATATATGTGCTTGCTTATATAGTCCAGCTGATTTCATGCGCAACTGAATAGATATGGGGTTTCGATAAAAATATATTAGTAAGGATGTGTGCTTTCGTTAAAAGGAAAAAAAATAGAGACTTGCTAAAATGTGACGATCCCTGTAGCCAAGTGGTAAAGCACGTTGGACGAAACGGTGATTTCTCCTAGAAAGAGAGCACTTTATTGAGATTTCTCGAATAAGTAGGCCGATAGACGTAATACACACTGTTTAAGTTTTTTTTTTCTTTTCTTTTTTCATATCGGATGCACCCTAATAATTGCAGGAGTACGACTAAGTTTTGAAGAAAAAATTTTTGTTATAAAGTGTTACTGGAAGCATGAAAGAAGTGCAAAGATAATTTCGAAGACAGTTTCACAGAGATGTACCAAAGCGACGCACCATTGCTCACACCATAGAACCCTAAAACAGATGGAACTGTTCAGCACCTTCATAAGCAACATTCAGGAAGACGAGGGTCATCTACCAAAACCGCAAAAGAAGAAGAATTTCTTATAGCCCTCCTCAAATTCGAAAGAAATCTGTACGGCAAATGGTGGTTGCCAGTTTGAACATTTATAAGGATGCATTTAATTTAGTATTTAATTAAAACCGTTAATCTTCTTTGTAAATCAATAAACATTACTATTTCATCAGTTTAACCGTTAATCTCGCTTGCCAGCCAATAAACACTGCATTTATTATCATTTGAAGAGTAAGCAGATTATTTAGAGACACTCTGTATATAAGTTGGGTGTGTTGGGATTGCTATGAGTTTGAATTTGTTAGGAGGTTTTTATATTAAGATGGTTAGTTTACGGGCTTGTTCACCATATTAATCCACAACAATATAGAATATAGACATTCAAAAAAAAAAATTCAAGGCAATTGAGTAAGAAACACCGATTATGAGATTTCAATAAAACAACATGCATTTATGTCCAATTAATATACAATTTGAAAACTTGTAGTTTGATAATGCAAGAAATTGACCATTGGTAAATTGGGTTTCTTATTGATTTACAGTTCGGAATTGTTCAAGTGTTTAAGAACTGGTCAAACAGAGTTAATTGGAAAACATTATTTATACAGAAATTTGTGTAGTTTGTATGCGTGAATAAAGTAGGAGTTTGTATGCGTGAATAAAGTAGGGTTTAATTGTCTAAATTCTCCAGAGTTGTTTACCTTGGATTGTTCTGTGTTTGTCTAAAATACAATTTCTATTTTAGTAGTGTATAAGAACACTTTTCTTAGAAAGTTGTAAGTGAGATGTGAGAGATTATGTTGATGTTTGAGTCAGCAGTTGACGCGCAAAAAGTATCTTAAGTCAAAATAGTGACACGCGTGGATTTGTGTGGCATCTCTCTGAAGTTTATTGACTGACTGGTGAATTGGGTCAAGATGGTCCTTTTTATTTGTTTCTGGAAACCAAAATAGGCTCCAGCGAACTGGCCGCTTAAAACAGTTACATATCTCGACCAATAGAAAGTCGAGATTTGCAATGCGAGGTGTTGATTGGTTAAAACTGATTCTGATGGAAGAGTGTATTTTATCTCGGAGGTGAGTATGAAATATGGACGATTCTATAGGTGTATTTTGGCAACTTTTTTAGATTTTTTTGTTTCAGTCATTCTGTCCCGTCAGCGTATTAAGGTGTTGACGGTTTAACAGATATAATAGTGCCTTTAATGAGGAAATGTAAACTTGAAATATTCTTCCTTGCCTAGCACCCCCACCATAAGGCGATTTATCCCAGCAACTAACTTCAGGATCCGAGTTAGAAGATTTCTCGACGATGACGGTCATTTACCAGAAACGCAAAAGAAGAAGAATTTCTGATAACCCTCCTTAGATTCCAAAAAACTCTGTACGACAAATGGCGGTCGCCAGTTTAAACAAAACTTATAAGGATTCATTTAATTTAGTATTTAATTAAAACCGTTAATCTTTTTTGTAAATCAATAAACATTAATATTTCATAATTTTAACCGTTAATCTCGCGTGCCAGCCAATAAACACTGCATTTATTGTCATTTGAAGAGTAAGCAGATTTTTTGGAGACACTCTGTATATAAGTTGTATGTATTTTAGCATATCTTTGAGAACAACGCATGTTGTTGCAGACCCGGTAGCATGCAGTGCTGGTTTATTAAAAGGTGGCCTTGTGCCAGACACTACTTATGGCTACCGAATCCACAAACAAAGTAAGAATATTAAATGAGTGATCTTTAGTGAGGAAAGGGGTCATTTGACACATGCACAAAAATAGTAAAATATAGATAGCCAGGATTAAACGACAAAATGAGTCTGGTGGAAAACAGATATGAAATTTTATTTGGATAACAAATAATCTTGTCTCAACAGTGGAGACTATCAGAAAAGGTAAGGTATATTTTTAGCCTGTAGGCAGTTAGTATTAAGTAGTAATTAATATAATTTTAAAGTTCCGCGCCAAAACAGAAAAAACCAAGATGGCTAAGGCGGGAAAAATTTCTTCAGAATGAAAGTTCTGGAATGTAGTCCTCTTGTACAAAATATGTAAGCATACACAACAAGAAAAAATACTCACTGCGAGGTTTAATAATGTGTGTATAATGTTATCTTTTTTTAAACTGGTTCGTAAAGGTTAGAATACAAAAGAGGTGTATGAAAAGTTCATCAATCTTCAGTGA